GGGCCGAGAGCTCAGCGTGGCTCTCCACTAGGCTACGGCCCGGCAGCTGCGCTCCGCCTTGGGGACGGACGGCGCTGGCTGGGCAGCCGAATTGCGCGCTGCCGCGGCGGCGTAGCCGACACGTAGTATCACTCAATTGGGCCGTCGTGTGGCCCTACAGGTTCAGGATTCGCGTCGTGCGTCTGTCTGCGGTAGACTCTGTCTGCGGTAGACTCGCCGTGGCGCTTACAGGAGGAGGAGGAGGGAAGGTGGAGAAGGAAGAGGGATGAAGAGGAGGAGGAGGAGGAGGAGGAGGAGGAGAAGGAGGAGGACTAGGAGCAGGAGTAGGAGGAGGAGGAGGAGGAGGAGGAGGAGGAGGAGGAGGAGGAGGAGGAGGAGGAGGAGGAGGAGGAGGAGGATGGGGAGGAGGAAAGGCGGCGGCCGCGCGCGCGCGTGTCATCGTCGCGAGAAAATCGCGACGGAAGATCTTGTCGTCGTTTTCGGCCTCTGGGGGCCCTCGTCTGGCCCTGGTGCCGTCAGGAAACGAAGCACCCAGGATCGGCCCAAGGCCCCCCAAAGGTGGGTCCTTAAGACGGTCCAAAAGGGCTTTAAGAGGGGCCCAAGAGAGGCCCCATAGGGGGAACACGAGCCGACATACCGAGCCCTGCGCCACAGGGGCCACCCAAAGCTCCTGGAGGCCCCCAATACAGGGCGATTTCGTTCGGTTTCAGGCCCCAGGACCATCACATCTCGATCTGGCTTGAAAAGTGCAGCTGGAAGATATGGTCTGGGGCTCCAGTAGTGATTTTTCACAACGTTAGCGTTTTTTCGTGACGTCGATTTTCACTGTATTTCCTCTCGTTGTGATCGACAAGAGTCACGGCGAACGGTTTTTACCAGTTTTCGGCCTTCGGGGGCCTTCGCTGGGCCCTGGGGCCATCACTGGACGACTCGGGAGGCAAGCCGGTCCTGGAGGGAGGGGTGCAGACATGTTGTTTGGGGTATCGGGGCGGCGTCGTTGAAAAACGACGACATCACAGTTGTGGTTATTGCGCGTTCTGGAGCAAGGGCCTCGCCTTCGGCGCATCCTCGCCCACGGCGGAAGCCAGAGAATGGCCGGCGGAGGTGAAACGTCAGCGGCTCCGCCAGCGGAAGCTCGGCGGAGGGCGGCAGAGATAAAGGCGAAACGTCAGCATTTGTCACCCCCCTCTGTGTCTTGGGTCCTCGTTTCGAGAATGGGTTGGGTTCTTCGCAAAGCTGATTTGTATGCAGGGTTTCCGACGTTGCCCATGTCTGTATGTATGTTTGTATGCATGCATGCATGCATGCATGCATGTATGTATGTTTGTATGTATGTATGTATATATATATATATATATATATGTCGAATCACGTATACGATCTCACTATGCATGCATGTATGGATGTATGTATGCATTGATGTATGGATATTTGCATGCTTCCATGTATTTACGTACGCATGTAGGTATGCGTGTATGTATGTATACATGTATGCATATGTGCGCGCATGCATGCATGCATGTCCACGCATGCATGTATGCATGCATCTACGTATGTCTGGTGCATGTGTGTATGTATGTATGTAGGTATACGTGCGTGCGTGCGTGCGTGCGTGCGTGCGTGTATGTATGTATGTATGTATGTGTGTATGTATGTATGTCTGTCTGTCTGTCTGTACATGCATGCTCACATACATGCATACGTACATACACGCATACATGCATGCATGCGTGCATGCATGTTTGCATACATGTATATGTACATGCACGTATGCATACATGCATGCATGCATGCATGCATGCGTGCATGTATGCATGCATGTATGTATGTATGTATGTATGTATGTATGTATGTATGTATGTATGTATGTATGTATGTATATAGGTATGTATGTATGTATGTATGTATGTATGTATGTATGTATGTATGTATGTATGTATGTATGTATGGTTGTATGTATGTATGTATGTATGCATGCACGTATGTATGTATGTGTGTATGTATGTATGTATGTATGTATGTATGTATGTATGTATGTATGTATGTAAATATACATGTATATATATGGAAATATGAATTTACGCATTCATGCATGTATATATGTATGTAGGCATGCATGTATTTATGTATGTATGCACGTAGACATGCATGAATGCGTGTATTTATGCATACATGTCTGTAGACATGTATGTGCATGTGTAAACATATATTTAAATGTATTTATGTATATGTATATGTAGGCATGTATGTATGTATGCATGCATGTATGTATGTATGTATGTGTGTATATATATATAGAGTTATATGGTGGTGGTTGGGGGGGGAGGGGGGGCGAACGGTCACTCATGGTCCCTAGGTGCGTGGCTGACTAGGGAATTCGTGGTGAGAATTATGCTTGTTGCGTTGTTGTTGGTGTTGTTGATGTTGTTGTTGTTGTTGTTGTTGATGTCGATGTTGATGTTGTTGTCGTTGTTGTTGTTGTGATTGTTGTTGTTGTTGTTGTTGATCTGACTTCTGAAACATAATTAATGTTGATCTGTTTTTCTCAATCAAAGTGTGCCCCTGGACGCTCGCACCCGGTTTTTTGACAGGGAAAGTCTTCCTGCTCAAACTGGGCCCGTTGCTCCCGGGTTACAACAAAAACGGTTCCCGCTTGAGACTTCCTTACAATTTAGCCAGGTCCCCCGCTCCCGCCCGGGACTTCCTTACATTTTATTCAGGAATCGCGCTCTCGCTTGGGACTTCCTTACGATGTATTAAGGAATCGCTCTCCCGGCGCTCTGGAGTCGCGTTCTCGCTGGTGACTTGCTTGCAACTGACTGAAGAATGGCCTTGCGTGGGAATGTCTGGCAATTTGCCCAAGCGCCGCGTTCCCGACACCCAGGCACCCAGGAGTCGCGCCCATTGTGGCCCCATGTGCATGCCCTTCTTGGCCCCGCTGTCGCCATTTGTGCCCCCCTCACTGTCCTACGTGGCCCAGTTGCTACTCTCAGTGGGCCCATAGTTGCCTTCTGCGGCCCCGCATTATCTGCACTTCGTGGCCCCCACTCGTTCGCGCTCTTCGTGGCCCCATACGCATTCCCTTCGTGTCCCTGCTGTCGCCCTTCGTGGCCTACTTCGTGCCCTTCGTGGCCCTGCTGTCGTTCTCTCTCGCTCTCGCTTTCGCTCGTCGTCGCAGTCGTCGTCGTCGTCGTCGCCGTCGTCTTCGTCGTCGTCGTCGTCGTTGTCGTCGTCGTCGTCGTCGTCGTCGTCGTCGTCGTCGTTGTCGTGGTCGGTCCCCTGTCCGTCCGTCTTGGGGTCGGGTCGACGGTTCGCGGCCGCCCCGCCGATCAACGCTGCCGCTGGCCAGGCCGACGGTCCGCGGCCGCCCCGCCGCTTGCCGGGGCCCGGCCTGCAGGGAAGAAAGGTATACCCCCCAAAAGGGGTTCGATCGAAGACGAAGAGGGCGGGTATCGAGGGTTTGGGAAATACGCGTTATTGGACACTCGAGCATATAAGGGCGAACAGTCTTAAGATTATTGTTGTTGTTGTTGTTGTTGTTGTTGTTGTTGTTGTTGTTGTTGTTGTTGTTGTTTGATGTCGTCGTCCCACCCGCGACCCACCCGCGAGCCACCCCGCGAGCCACCCCGCGACCCATTCCGACTTGCAGCGTCTGGCATTCCGACCTCCATCATCCAGCGCCTACACCAACGCCAGCGCCACCGCCGGCCCAAGGCCCAAGCCGATGTTGTAACGCCGTTCCAAACCATCCCTCCCTGCAAGCATCAACGCCCGCGGCTTCGCCAGCACCGACGACAGCACCGACGCCAGCATCAACGCCTTCGCCTACGCCAGCACCAACGCCAGCGCCTACACCGGCGCGGACGTCAGCCCCTACGCCAACACCAACGCCGGCGCCTACGCCGTCACCAACGCCAGCGCCGAGACCGACATCAACATCAGGCGGCAACGTGGCTCAGGGCCCAGGCCGATTTTTGGAACGCCGTTCCAAAATCCCCCTCCCCGCTGGCACCAACGCCAGCGGCTTCGCCAGCACCGACGTCAGCATCGACGCCAGCATCAACGCCTTCGCCCTCGCCGGCACCAACGCCAGCACCTGCACCAGTGCCGACGTCAGCCCCTACGCCAGCACCAACGCCGGCGCCTTCGCCAGCGCCGACGCCAGCACCGACGCCAGCACCAATGCCTGCGCCTACGCCGGCACCAACAGCAGGGCATACACCAGCGCCCTCCCCAACACCGACGTCAGCACGAACGCTGGCGCATACGCCGGCAGCAACGCCAGCGCCTACACCAACACCGTCACCTGCACCGACGCCCGCAAGAACGCTGGTTACTACGCCAGCACCAGCGATAGCGCCTACACCAACACTGACGCCCGCACCGCCCCCAGCCTCAAGGCTGGCGCCAACGCTGGCCCCAGCGCCAGCTCCGACGCCGACACCCTGGCTTGCGCCTTCGCGGGCACCAACGCCAGCTCCTACACCAGTGTCGACGTCAGCTCCGACTGCAGCACCAACGCCAGCGCCTACGCAGGTACCAACGCCAGCGCCTACACCAGCACCAGCGCCAGCACCGTCGCCAGGACAAGCGTTGTCGCCGGCGCGCCGACGCCAGCACCGACGACAACAGTAACGCCAGCGCATACGCCATCAACATCGCCAGCGCTTTCACCAACGCCGACGGCAGCACTGGCGCTTGCGCCGGCACCGACACCAGCGCCTACAACAGTACCGACGCCGATGTCGCGAACTGTAGTGTGGGCGCGATCGGGACGAGCAGCTCCGCTTCTAGTGGCATAGTTTCGACTGTAGCGTGGTCGATCATCACCGCGCAGGCCGGCAATAGCACGGCGATGTTGACGGTCAATTTCGCAATGAGTTTCAAGACATCAGCGAGCAGCAGTGTGAGCGATGTCCGGATGCGCAGCGCGGCTTCGAGTCCCACGGAGTCGATTGTAACGTGCAACGTTCACGACCAATTCCACCGGGAGCTTCACGATGACAACGTACAGCAGTGTGAACGCGGACCGAACGAGCAGCGCGGCTTCTAGTAGCACGATTTCGATTGCAACGGGAGCAAGCAGCACTACGCAGGCCATCGGCAGCATGGCGACATCAACGGCCAGTCCCACGGGGAGCTTTCCGACACCAGCGACGTTGGCAATGTCGTCGAGCAGCACCACGCGGGCCTGCAGTAGCACGGCGACGTGCACTGCCAGTCCCACGGTGAGCTTCACGTCAGATGGCAGCAGGCTGACCAGCTGTACGTCCACAGCCAGTTCCACGGGACCAACAGCTCGACAGACGAACAGGATCACACCCTGGTGCGCCATTCGTGGGATGGGAGGCTTGTTATTTCAAATAACGGCTTCCACGACGCCTTCAATTCCGGGTTATGAGGGCGGCCCCGCCTGTGCTTAGGCTCTGCGTACGCCTTCCGTCCCTCCTCTCTCTCTCCCCTCCTCCTGCATGTGTATATTTTTGTTCAACTAGTGAGCTGTTCCTTGTTGGCTCGCCGGCGCCTGGCTCCGCTTTCGCTATGTGTCGTCCCGGGCATAGACGACAGGCGACGGCCGCCCATGGGGGGGCTCGACCACAATGGTCGGCCGCACCACGTGGCTACGGCTATTGCGCCTTGGTGCTCTCAGGATTTATCCTTTGGCAGCCATGCACCCCGTCATACTGTACTTTGGGACGGTCATGCGCTGTGCACTGTAGTTCGCATTTTTCTATATCTGTTTTAGCTTCTGGCGTGTTGGGCTCGAGGACTCGGGGAGCTGGTTGGCTGTGAACGTGTCTTCGCCCTTGGCTCCTTCCCCCTCTCTTCCCCTCCTTTGCTTTGGTCTTGCCCGTGAGGGACCATTGTGCGAGTGCCGCTAGCAAGGCCTGGTAGGTGTAAGCACGCGCGGGCTCCCCTTCTTCTCACGCTCGTGTGGGACCATTTTGCGGGCGTCTCCGGCGAAGTCTGGGGTCGTTGACGCATGCACGAGCTGCGCGCGCCCATTTCTTGTTCCTTTCCTTCCCTTCCCTTTCTCGCGCTTCTGCTTCAATGCTGGCCGGGCGCTCTCTGATGCACGCTGCGTAGAGCTCGTGAGTCATTGTCGTTTGGTGCAGGAAAGAGAAAAAAACGAGCCACCCCGCGACCCACCCCGCGACCCACCCGCGACCCACCCCGCGACACATCCATAAGGGAGGAAGAAGCATCCTGACCCGATAATTGACGTTTACTAAAGCGGCCCTGGGCGTTTACTCAACAGCCCTGCCCTGTTCGATTCATTCCTTGTGTGCGTTTTCTAAACGGCTTCGCTTGTCGGGGTGATTATCATGGGGTGGACTCTCTGCCCTCTACACCCGTGACCCACCCGCGACCCATTTGCGACCCATTTGCGACCCAGCGTGCAGCGTGCAGCGTGCAGCGCCTGCTTCCCCTCCGAGCGGGCGATGGCGAGCCACTGCAGGGCCAAGCATGGCCACCGGCCTGCCATCAAGGCTTATGTCGACGGCTCGGATGTCTGCCCGTGCTGCGGCACCCAGTTGCAGATGCGATTGCGGTGTATAGCTCACCTTTCGGATCGCCGCCGGCCGCGCTGCGCGGAGTGGATTGTGACGCACTGCTCGCCACTTCATCCTACTGCGCTTGAGACTCGCCGAGGCCGACAGGGCCTCCCTGCGAGCGGCGTGGGCAGAAGGCCACACGCATGCAATAGCCCGCCGACCCGCGATCACCAAATGTAGACGCATCGTCGGCCGTTGCCGATGAATTCGGCCCCGCTGTCCTTTTTGCTGCCGCAGTGCACACTCGTGCTGACTGAGGAGCTGTGCTCTGAGACTCGGGCGTCCTTCGTTCCCCAGAGCACACACACTTATATATATATATATTTATAGATATGTATATGTAAATGTAAATGTGTATATATATAGATGCTTGCACATAGAAGTTCATATGTATATAAATTTAGATACTCAGATAGATCTATAGATGTGTGTATACGATTTTCCCACACATACATATATGCACACGCAGACAGTCGGCCCATCCCGTCACCGTGCCTGGGTTGTAGTTTAGAGGCCTCTTGGGGCCCTCTTGGCCCGTTTTGAAGCGCTCGCGTTCCCGAGCATATCACCTGGGAAGCGCTGCGCAAGCACGGGAGGCACGCCAGGAACCCGGGACAACTTGAGGCATTTGCGCCCAGGTCCCTGAGTGCTTAATCCTGAGGACTGATGACTTCAAGAGACCTGAGGGCACTCCAACTCTTGCCTCGCAGCACGGTGGCGGATATACCCACCGAATTTCCAAGGATACGCGCAAACACACGCGCACAGGCGCACACGCGCAGAGGCGCACACGCGCACACGCGCACACACACAAACGCACAGCCACACACAAACACACACACACACAAACACACTCACAAACATACAAACACAAACACGCAAGCACAAACACACGCACAAGCACACGCAAACACAGACACACACGAACATGCAAACACACACCCACAAACACACAAACACACAAATACACAAACGCACAAACGCACAAACACACAAACACACATAAACACACAAACACACAATCACACACAAACACACAAAGACACAGCACACACACAAACACACAAACACACGACAACATATACACAAAAACATACACGCACACATTTTTTGCGTCGGCCGGACCACTCAGAGCTGCCAGCTGCGGCGGGGTGAGCGCTGGGGGTGGGGAGCAGCGCCTGCACAGGCCGTACTGAACTGCACTGACCTGAAGATGGGGGGGTAGCCAGGAGCTGCAGCTGGTGGTCAAGAGAAAACGAAGCGTAGCCCAACCTGGTGGACCGAGCACAGTCCAGGGATGATCCAATGCGCCGAGACCTGCGGGCTTGCGAGGCGCGTGCGAGGAGATGGGGACTGCCATGACGGACCAGCCCCGGCAGCAGGCATTGCGCCGCGGGCACAAGCGCGGGTGCTGGACGGCACAGAGCGAGATGTGGCTGAATGGGCCTGCGAAGCGCGGGCGTGAGGGGCGGAAGGCCGGCAGTGGCACCGTTCAGAGCGGTGCAGCAGAACAGGAGCGGCCAAATAAAGGCGGCGGAAAGGGCGGCCAAGACGAGCGCCCAGAACCTCGACCCGCGCCGACGGGAAGGAACCCCGACATCGGCAACGGTGGGGGGGCGCCGAGACCACACAGAACAAGGAAAGCGCGGAATGAGGGACGGCCCGGCGGGGCGCAGTGCGGCACCCAGGCAAGGAGAGGCAAAACGAGGGGGGGAGGGGCGACGGCCCCCGTACGCCAGCTGGCGGCGGGCAAGAAGGCCACGCCCAGTGGAGGGCGGCAAGCCGAGTGCGAACGGGTGGGCCCAGAGGCAGAGAGCCAACTGAGCAGTAACCGACACGGGCGAGGTGCCAAAGAGGCGACAGCGGTCAGACACCGGTAGCCGGTGTTGGGGAGGTGGCCAGAAAACCAGGCAGGAGGGGGCGGACACAGGCACCGAAGCGAATGTCGCCCGGCCGGCGAAGCACGGCAAGGGCCAGAGAGGTGCCGCAGGCAGGGCCTGGACAAGATTTGCAGAAGGCCGGCGACCCAAGAGGCAAGGGGCAGCGGCGGAGCAGGGCGCCCCAAGGGAGGGCGGGAGTGGCGGCCCGAAGGCCACGAGCGGGCGGCAAGACCAGCCTGCTGTGACAGGGCCAACCCGGAAAGCGAGGCAACGAGGGGAACCGGCCGAGCGCCGGCACAGGCGCTGGCGGGCCCCACGCATGGGCGTGAGAAGAATGCAAGCCTCGAGCGAGAGCTGGAGGCTTGCGGGGGGGGCACCGAACAGCTGCACGATGGAAAGCAACCACGAGTGCAGGGAGGTGAGGGCGGCGGGCAGGCCCCGAGCGAGGGCTGGGGGCCTGCGGGGGGGCACTGAACAAGTGCACGATGCGTGAGTGCCACGAAGGCAAGTAAGGGAGGGCAGCGGCCAAAGAGGCCACTGCCAGGGCGGGGATTGGCACGCTCAGTACAGGACGAGGTGATGGGGCGGCTGGCTGATCGCTACCAACGGTGGCTGCTGGAAGCTGACCCGCGCTGGCGGGAAGGGTCGTTGCCAGGCCAAGAGGGGTCCGCTGGCGGCCTCCCACTCCCGTGCGGCAGAGCACCCTTCCCTTGGCCTGTCGCGAGCTCAGAGCTTTGCCTCCTCTTGTCAAGTTCGCGATGCCACTCAGCGTGCCAATCGACTTGTACCCCTTTCTTCCCGCAGAGTCTGCGCGCGTCCTAATGGACCTCGCTGAGGTCATGTACGAAACCTGGGCAGAATTCAGGGTTGTGGCGCTGTGGGTCTTTGGCGGAGCGGGGTCCAGACTCCTGGTCGCAGATGGCATTCCACCCGACCGTGAGCATGGGGCCACATTCTGTCTCGAGGCGGTTGATCACCGCTCTCCAGTCCTTCCTTGCATTGTCTCGGTGCTTCCAGGTATGGTGCCAGGTCGCCTGGTGTCTTGGCTCGTTGGAAGGCCCGTCATTGTTGTCCGACTGAGGATATCAAGAGTGAGAAGTCCTAAAGCTCCTCCTTGATCCAATCGATGCGCCAGTCACCTTCCTGGGTCACGATGTAGTGCTCCCGCTCATCGTCCCAGTATTCTGGAGGCGCCACTCCCTTACGACGGGGTGTGGGGACCGCGGGCTGTACTTCTGGATGGCAATCCGGGGCGCAAGTGGCCTTCCTGCGCAGTGCGCTGCGTGCCTTGGGGGAGCCATCGCCCTCGGGTTCGAATCCGGCCATGAGCTCGATCTCATAGGTCTGGCATAGCTTCCAGCCCTCGGCTTGCAGCTCCCATTGCCGCCTGGGGGGCAGGGTCGGGGCGCTCCGGCAACGGGCCCGGCGGGGCGCTGCGTGGGCTGCATGGGGGGGGGGGGGGGGAGGCCAGTGGTACGCGTCCATCTACGCGCCTCGCATGGGCTGGGAGGGCCGTCGTCGGCGGCGTCAGGCTCAGGTAAGTCGAGTGAGTGAGGTGCCGGCGTGCCTGGCTCGCTGACGGGATCGCCCTCTGGGGTGTGGAAGAACTCAGGGCGCGCGCCAGTGTGGGGCACCTGGGAAGAGCTGGCAGCGCCGTCAGCGCTGGGAGCTGTTCCTGACCAGCGCAGAGCCTCCCGGATGGCAAGTCCTTATGGCCCCGCGCGGCCTTGATCCATCCCTGCCCTGTTCCGGGGGTCTCTTCGCCGCGGATCATCCAGGGGGGCGGGCAGCATCGGTGTCCTTGCCCGGGCTGGCAGGGGGCACCCACCCGGCGGGGGTGTTTGCAGTGGGGCAGCATACGGGGACAGCATCTCAATCACCGTGCGCGAAGTCCCACGGCTGCACCTCCACTCCATCGGCGAGCCCGTGGTGGGGGATCAACCATCCTTGGGGCTGCTTGGCATGTCCGTCCTCCGGATGTGGTTC